CACAGAGAAGATGAGTGTTCTGTCCCCAAACTCTTGTTTGGCAGCCCCTCAAGCAAGCATTGGTCCCATTTCTACACTTTATGGCCATGGCTCGCTGGTGTCTGAATTGGCATCTTGTAAGGAGATACTAAATTATACATTTAACCCCGTCCTTGTCTCCTTTCCACACGCGCCAGCATGTCCCTTTAGATTTCTTATTTGCTATTGGACAAAATACATAATTTTCGTTTCTCAAAGGTTTCCAGGCTTCATAATGGAATGATACCGAAATGTGACTGAACAATGAGACTGCTCTGTCTAAATTGTGTGTGTGTGTTTGATATAAAATATGGAAATCTCTCCAAATAGCTACTATTAAAATTTTATCAGGACGAGAAAAGCCCATTAAGTATGTCAGATGTTCAGAGGAACATAAGTCTTGGCAAAGATGAAGTTGGGTGTTGGCTTAGTTGGAGCAATGTGTGACAAGGGCAGAAGAAAAGGAAATTAGATAAGCATATGGAGCAGAGGTCCATCACTGGCTATTAGCCACAAAGTATAGATAGGGACTCTGGGGCAAGTGATGCTCTGTCATCTTGGTGCTTGGGGGGGTCAACAGTGGGAGGGCTTCTAATGTCCTGGCCCCACTGGTGGACCTCCTGATGGCACCTGGTATTTCTGGCCACTGTGTGACACAGAGTGTTGGACTGGATGGGTCTTTGGCCTGATCCAACATTGGCATCTCTTATGTTCTTAAGACTGGTTCAAAGGGCCCTTTTAATCACATTTTTATGTGATCTGCTCTGTGGATGGTCATTGAACATCTTGAATCGTCCATTTCGTTAATTGTCAGCTAAAGAGGATAAATGTTTATTTTATTTTTATGGTTGACTCATTTGACCTAAGGTCTCAAGTCAGGAAAGTTATTTTTCTTTAGTGAAGGGGAGGTAGTTGTTGATTTCCAGCATTGTGCAGCGGCTTGGACTAGATGACCCGTGAGGTCCCTTTCAGCTCCATGTTTCTATATTCCTTGTTGTTATATGTATATATATGTCTATACGTTAAGAGGACAAATTGTTGACTCTTATTTTTGTATCTTGGATTCCTCTAGCTATTTTGATGTTGGCAAATCATTTTAAAACATAGGCTTGAGCCCTTTTTATATGCAATACAAACGATGTCCTTGGATCACCCCTTTAAACGTAGCTCTTCCTTCCAGTGCCCCCTCTTGAAGGCTTTGTTATGAACAGGCTGCAGGGCGATTACTTCGAAACCCTGCTCTACAAGATATTCGTTTCAATAGATGAACATACGAACGTGGCAGAGGTAAGTCGCTTTTTGGAAGGTAAAAACCAAAGGGATGCTTGGGGGGGGGGCAACATTGGGAAGGCTACTGGAGTTCTGGCCCCACCGGTGGACCTCCTGGTGGCACCTGGGTTTTGGCCGCTGTGTGACACCGAATGTTGGCCTGGATGGGCCATTGACCTGATCCAACGTGGCTTCTTTTATGTTCTTATGATGGCTCCCCTTTGACCATACCCCTCAAAGGCTGTGCTGTGGGGTTCCTGGGGTTTTCATGGACAAAAGCCATGTGGGATGGGAGCTATTTGAAAGGATGGGAATCGGGCAGGACTGAGTGAGAAAGCCGGCTGGATCTAACCCTATGCAGTTTTTCCTTGTGTGGTTGTTTGCCTACATGAATTTGCAGCTGATGACTGTGAGGAAGAGTTATTTGAACAAACTCATAGGGACTCCCTGGCTCACCTTTCACTGTAGAAATCAGTAATGTTATAATGTTAACAGTGTATCATCACAACAACATTCCCTTGGGTAATGGGCATTACTTAATGAGTATACCTTCCATGAGAAAAATAAAGGTCGCCTGAGGCCTGCCATAAAGTCAGTGGGTAATAATAAGGGAGCCACTCTATCTTAACCTTGCTGAACTCCTACCCCACCTATAGCTTTGGGGTGTGAGCTCTGGCTTTATCATTCAGAGTTGCTTATAGAATTACTAGAACAGAGTTTGAGTCCAGTGGCGCCTTTAAGAAGAAGGGCAGAACAGAAAAAGATGTTCTTTGGTATGACAGAAAGTCCAGGATCTTCTTCGTGGTCTCTGTGCTTCACACCAATGGGTTTAGTGCGCCTGCGCTGACCCAACCGGTGCCGTAGCAAGCTATGTTTCAAAGGATTTTCGCGCGAGTCCCACTGAGCATGCGCAGGAACCCCAGCACGCATGCCCAGAGGGGACGGGCGCGGAGATCCCGCCAGTTCTTTCTCTACCGCCGCGTTGAAAGGACCTTTTTGCCTTTCCTCCTGACCGGATAGCTGTTACTGCCTTCGGGCCGTTACCTTATTTCTTGTTTCTTAGGATCATCCTTTATTTTGTTTCTTTACTTCAGTTTCAGTTTACTTTAAAAAAAGAAAAGAAAAAAAAAAGAAGAAGGAAGAAGAAAAACGAGAACTTTTGTTTTTCTGAGGGGAATCTCCTCAGGCCTTCGGGCCTCCCCCCCCCCTTGAAGAGGAGTCAGAAGTGGGGCTTTTTCAACCGCTGTAAGAAGTGTGGAAGTAAATTGGCCCCTCCAGATGGCCATGAACTTTGTTTGTTCTGCTTAGGCGAGTCACACAGAGCGGATACTTGTAAGCATTGTGCTAAATTTTCTAATCAGACGAAAAAGAACCGTGCCGCACGATTAAAGGTCGCTTTGTTGGAATCTGCTCTTCACCCGCCGTCTGCTATGGCGGACCAACCTTCTACCTCACGTGCTGCCGTCGATACCGGAGCGTCGATACTGACAAGATCGACATCGAAGGCCGCTTC